AATAAACAGTCCCAAGGATCTGTTGATGACATGGCACCTTGCAAGACTTAGAAGAGTCAATTCCAGTGCAATTCAATATTTAATTTCAGCAGAGCTTTTGAGCCTTCTCTTGCCTCGTCAGTGCAACATGGGAAAGCCTCTGTCCATCCAGGGAAAGCATCTCCTGACACCAAAATGTACCAGCCTCTCTTCTGCCTGCACAGTTCTGCAAAATCAATTTGCMAAATATCCCCTGGGAAATTCCCCCATTTTATAAGCCCTGGAGGCAGTCTTCTGCCTTCCTTGGGATTATTTTGCTAAGAAACCCCTTTTTTCAAGGACAGATCTATTAATTTCTGTTATTTCTGTGCTCACTATATTCCTTTGCAAATGAATCAGCACATTCTGGATTTCCCAATGTGTTTCCTGATGTTTTAGTTCTGTTATACATTAATTCTGGAGGTGCAGTTACCTGCCTACATGAGGTTACCAATCACCTGCTGGGATCTTCTGTAGCTTCTCCTGATAGGGCTGACTGCCTGTCCTGATTGCTATAATTTGGGGTTTTTTTCCCAAGCACATTCCACTCTTTGCCAGGTATTAGWGCAGAGGTCCCTTTCTCAGCAGCCTCTCAAGCTGCTTTGTCAGCTGATTGATTCCCTGGAATTACTGGGGATTCTCCAAACTGRTGGGCTTTACAAGGGCACCRCAGCCCCTTCTTTTGGCTTTTGTGGGATTTTGGTCCAATTTCTCCTTTGTACTTCACAGGAACCTAGGAAACCTGGCTGGGTTCAAACAGGGATTACCTAAAGCTCAACATAGTCTTGCTGCAGTGGGGCGCCCTGGTATTCCAGCATCCTGCTGGTGGTATCCAATGTCCTCCTCTTTGTTCCAAACCAGCTGTGCCCATGTGAGGCACAGAGCAGCTTTTGTGCTCCCCGGGTTCAAAACTCGGCACYTCCCACCGCCCTAAAGCATCCTGGCCATCCTTTACTCACGTTGTCCAATGGCTTGGAAAATGCTGTATTCTCCCACTCAAAAGCAGACCATTTCTAACTCTCCGGGTCCAGAGGTGTTACAGAAAAACGCACCCTTAAGAGAAAGCAACCTTTGTATCCCCTGTCAGTGCTGCCAAGGGTGTGCACAGTTCAGCTCCCACTGAATGAATGTCTGGGACTGTTTTATAAATGGCCTTTAAATCTTGTAGTGGTCTCTATTCCAAGTTCTGCTTTTGAACAGCCAACACTGATGTGTTGTTCTGATCCACACTCTTTCCATAACCCATATTCAAAATGAAATTTTATAAGCTTTTGCCAGGTTTTCCTTGCCTCCCCCTCAATAGCACATTGTGTTTGCCGTCCCTGTCTGTGGCTGGCTTCAGGTTTGGGAGGAATCGTCACCAGTTCGGCCACCTTTGTTCACCCAGGCACTTCACAGCCCACGCCAGTGGGATTACAGCATTCCCCACCTCCCCTGGAATTTCTTCCACATCATTTGATCCCTGAATCATAAAGATCTTTGCCTCAACAGCTTTTGATTCAGGTTTTGGAATTTCCCCATTCCAGAAAGTTCTTCGAGCATCCAGTTTTTGAAACAAATCTCTCCCCAGCCAGGGGACTGGGCATTCAGGCAGATACARAAATTCGTGTGTCCCCCACCGCTTTCTTAATTTAAATGGCAATGGTAGTGACAAAGGCCTGTTCTCCCTCCTCCCTGTCACACCCACAACACRTTCAGAGCCCAGTTTTCCTCTGCAGGAATTCTACACCCAACAACTTCCTCCTGCACCAATTAAAACGTTACCATTTCCTTCCCCAGCAATAATAACCAGGGGCTCAGCTGGGGATGGGTCCCCCCATGCCCTTCCTTTCCACTTTAGGTCAGGAACTTGATGGAGTGTTGGGTTTGGGGTTCCTGCCTGGTTTCCCCTGGCCTGGGTACACTCCGTTTCCCAATGTCCCCTTTCTTCATCAAATTCAAATTCAGCCACCAACTAGTACAACACTCAACCCATTGTTTCCCAGTGAGGGGGTCCTCCTCCAATTTCCCCCAATGCTTTAATAATCATCATTACGTGAGGCATTTAAACCATGTGGCATTCCAAACCAGTTYCCATTTGGGAGCATTCCAAAATGTGGCATTCCAGCACATTTAGGAGCTCCCAGCAGGGACCCTAACCCTTCTCTATTCCCACCCTAGGGACCTCTAATCCCCGCCTGGGAAACATCAGGTGCGAGTTCACCCCTTTAAAGGGAAGAGTGCTCTGATCTTCCCAGGGGTGCTGCTCCCATTTCCTGCGGTCCAGGGATTGAAGCTTCTCCTGAAAATCCCTCGAGGTCCCACGAYCCCTCAGATCCATTAAAATTCAGCCGTAAGTCCCATCTAGGTKCCAAAACTGTTACCAAAAATCGGTAAAAATAGAACTCCTTAACACCAAGGAAGCCTTAAGAGGCAGAAATTAATTATTCAGCTGGAGATTTCAGAGGAGATTTCCTCTCGTGTCTCTTGCCAAACACAGAATTCCTGCTTCTTAATGCTACCCTTGTGCTAAGGGAGTTTTATTTTCACCGATTTTTGGTAACACAGCTGGTTTATCCTTAGAACTGGATTTCCCTTGGGAAAGCTGCTGCGGGGGCAGAGGCACCGTGTGACCTCTGAGGATGTGGGAAAATGGAAGGAAATGTCCTTCCGGACCTCAATCCCATCCCCTGGAGAAGCCTGAGGGTCCTGCGGGTGCCAAAGGCACTGCGGATTCCAGGATGAGCCACATCCAGCCTCTCCCTCCCTCCACAGCTCAGCTCCAGGAATGGAATTCCCATATTTTTTAGTGCTAAGGAGATTTAGACACAAAAACTCGTGTCCTTGAGGACACCGCAGTATCCCAACCCCCGCCCGTGCTCCTGGCTCTGGTCTAATTTCAGGAATTTAATTGGGAAAATGTCTCCCAGCCTCGTGATTTCATTTGAAAGGCAAAAAATAAGAGAAAAAGAAAATTGGGGAACTTTCCTGGTTATTTGAGTCCCAAGCACAAAGGACCCAGCCCAGCACCTCCCCCGCCGTGTCCCGTCCTTCCGACCCCGATTCCTGCGGCTCCACCACGTGTGCTCCCGGCACGTTGAACTGGGACATCCCAAAAAAGCCACTGAGGCCGTGGTGTTTCACAGCCGGGGGTGGCAGGGAGGTGACAGGGTGACAACGCCACAGAGCGCTGGGCCGGGAATTCTGGGAACAGTCTCAGGTGGCACCAGGGGGGCACTAGGTAGGATTTTGGGAATATTTGGGGAATATTCCTCCTGGAAAGATATGTCTAGCCCTATGGGATTTAACAGCTGTGTTGATGTGGCACTTGGGGACATTGTCAGTGGTGGCCTTGGGGGACAGGTGAACTGGGGGCGTCTGGGGGTTTTCCCACCTCAGCGATTCTTTGATTCCGTGATGTCCCAGTTTCCCCAGCATGTCCCGCCTTCCCTTCCAGCTCCGTGGGCAGATGGAGTGTGTGGGGGGTGTCTGTCCCCATTTCCAAGGGAATGTGACCATCTGTCCCCCTGCTCGGTGACATCCAGCTGGGGGGACATTCCCAGTGCTCCCAGTGCAGAGCAGCTTCCAGCTTACTGGGAAGGAAGGGGAATTCCCATGGTGGGGGTGCTGTGGGGCTGGGCCACGTGAACTGAGCCATGCTGGGAGCGGCTGTGGGGCTGCAGGTGCCCCACCCCCACCCCGTTCCAACCCCTCTCCAGAGCCTAATTTGCATTTTTTACTCATTTCTACATTAACTCAAAATGTGGTGGGGTTGTTTATTTT